GCATCCCCGGGGAGCGAGCAGGGAACAAAGAGTTGTTTGGAAGAAAGAGAGATGTCGATAGATAAACCTTTGTGTTCTTAGAACGAGTAGCCTCTCATTACCGTCACTGTGCTGTGGACACAGGAAGGGAAAAAAATATTTAAACCTGGGCCTTGAGGAAGGTCTGGAGGCCCTGAGGTAGGGCCATTGGGGCTGATGGAAGCACAATCATGCTGGTGGCAACTGATTGGATTCCCAGTCCAAAACCATCTGGAAGGCACCAGGCTGATGACGGCCAATATCAGTTTTGCCCACATCAGCTAAACTATAGCTTGGTGTTAAGAGGACAAGCCTCCGGTTCACAGAGACTTCATCTACTTCTACTAACTACGTCCTGGGTTGATCAAACCACAGTTTCTTGCTACACCTGAAACATTTTTTTGAAACTGTCCTCCAAACCAGAATGCAAACCATGGTTTGAAGCTGGCTGGGCCACCTTGCTCAGGAGGCAAGCACAAATCTTGCTCGCTGGTGAAGGTGGAATGTGCAGCTAGAGTCTGATCGTACCAGAAAGCAGCAGAAGCTGAACGTTCATGAGGAGGAGGGAGGGGAAGGGCATGCTCATGGGGCTTGCCCCCAAAGCACCATGGTTTGGCTGAACTGAACCATTGCTTTGGTTAAATGTTTGCTTGCCTTCTGATGCTGACCTTAGCAGAGGCAAGACAAAAGGTACCCTGGACAGCTCCTTGAGTTCTGCATGAGAGCAGAGCTTCAGGTGCAGTTAATTCTCAACTTGCAGCTTTGTTCCTCCTTCACTTAGAGCAGGCACCCCCAAACTAGGCCCTCCAGATGTTTTGGGGCTACAATTCCCATCATCCCTGACCACTGGTCCTGTTAGCTAGGGTTGGTGGGAGTTGTAGTCCCAAAACATCTGGAGGGCTGAGTTTGGGGGTGCCTGACTTAGAGGTACTCTTTGCTGAAAGGGCACCAGCCTCTTTCTTCCAGCAGTCATTTACTTCAGTAGAGAGGGGAGCCTTTAGTTGCATGGAGCCTTCTGAGATGGACTGCTCTGAGTCAGAGGTGGGCAATGTCTTTGAGTCAGAGGTGTACTGGCTCCTTGAGCTCTCCTTACCCACCTCCAGCATGACACAAGCAGAGCCTGGTAAGTTCTTAGTTGAAACAGCACCTAGAAAACTCACCATCATATCCACCTCTAATTGTGCAACGAGTCAGAGAGGAAGATGAAAAGGCAGCTACCCCATGCTGGGCTAGGTGACAAAAGGTATTTTGAGATATGTTTTATTTTTGGAGTCAGGAAGCGGGGGGGTGGGGTGGGGGGAATAAAACGCCCAGCTGTTTCTTTGTTGGAACTGCTTGGAACCTGAGACAAGTAAGGCCCCTTGCTCTCTACAAACCCTGGACCCCAAAACATGGTTTGGGACTCATGCACTAGTGCAGCCCATCGAAGGTGTCTTCTATTTAGTTGCAGAGTTAAAACCAGACACTTGCAGAGCACACCACCTGGTGAATTAGATGCCCTTGGGCCTTTCACCCTTCTACAGTTCTACATAAGAGTTTAAGAATATGATAAATGTGGGAAAGTAAGGAGTTTTCAGCTACCTGGGAATCTCAGCTTGTATCATAAGAAAAGGAAATTGCAAAGACAGCTTGGGAAACAAGGGAGAACTGCCTGCTAAAACCTCAAAAGCCAGTGGGGTAGAGGCCAAAGGTGGTCCCCAGGGATTCCAGCCGAGACTTCATTACTTCTGCACACACTAGCAGAAACCAATATGCAAAATTAAGTGGAGTGATTTATGTGGGTCACAGAATCCAAAATTTGGGGTCAACAGCACACAGGTTACTTTTTTTTTGTTCGATGTGTAACCCATCTTCAACACCCAAGGGAGAGAGAGCACAAGGAGAAAAAGAAAAAACAAGGATATGTTGCAGTGTCTAAAATCACAGAGTCACTTCCAGCAGCTGCCTGCTCCATGGTTCAGAATGCCAGGGGGGAAAGGGCACATGTGTGACACTGGCAAAAATGCACTTCTGGTTCTTTGGGGCCAGGGATCATCCAGGAAAAGGGAAACCATGTGCGGTTCCCAATACTATAAGTTGCCTTGCAGTTTACCCAAATACGATGGTCCCAGCATTAGCTTTTTCTCCTCCTCTGACTGGTTGCTTTGCTACAGGGCACAGGCAGTGGGAGTCTTTACCAGACTTGCTACCTAGAGCCATCTAACCCAAGCCCTTCTGCAGCCAAAACATGTGTCCTGCCACTGAACTATGGCCGCTCCCCCAGGACAGAGTACCTTTCCAAGGATGCCAACTCCCAACCAAGAAGTGCTGTCTTACTCTATTTACATAAGAGAAGGTATTGGCCAGAAACAAATGCTCCCTGCATGTGATTTATACCACTCGAGAGGGGTGGGTCTAGAGATAAAAGGACAAGCATATTCAGCTCAGCCAAGGATGAAGAAAAGTTGCCAAAAACGGTAGGGCAAGAATTCCTCTGCAAAGGTCCCACCTCCATCAGCCACACCCAGGGTAGATCTAACCACCCTACTGTCAGTCTTGATGTCAGATTCCTTAGGCCCAAAATGAAATGGCCTTTAGGCTGCTCTAAAATCCAGACAGCCTCTTTGATCTGCAAGTTCTGGGTGCTAAGATAAGGCGTGGAAACTTCTATTGGACAGCAACAATGGAGCAGGTTTGGAAGTGCTTTTAAGTACCTAATAGGGAAAACAACCCGACACATCATTTTAGTGTACACAAAAACGATGCACGAAGTTCATAACCAATTCACCACACCACAACTGGAGTTAAAAAAAATAAAAATAAAAGAGCAGAACGCTTACGACAATGATGGATATAAAGCACCAGCTGTTCAGGGGGGAAGAGGGGGGCAGATAATGAAAAGGAAAGGAAAGCCACTTCTGAAAGACACTTTTTATTTGGGCAAGCTTTTAGCCGCAGGGAATCTGCATTGGTGTCGTGTTATTTCAGCTGCATGTTTATATCTGCAATATATTTGGCATTTTATACAACTGTTATCTTTTAGGATGCTGTACAATGCTCAGACTTGAAGATACGACCAAATATGAATATAAAAATACATTCCATAGTTTGAGAGAAGACTTTGAAGAGAGGAAATGCCGCTGTGCTCATCAGCCCAGACTGACTTCACCCGCCTGAGAAAGCTCAGGAATCTTTGAACCAGGCCACTGTCCAAAACATGTGACAATCGTTTAAAAAGCCAGGCAGTTACTGATCTGTAGCCATCCTGATCCAAGGATGCTCAAGGTAAAGCTCAACCCAGGGGCTTTAGAAAGTTAGAGAAGTTTGGCACCGATTTGAGTCTTAATGCTGGAGCGCTTCAAGACACATTAGTACACCTAGATGCTGCAACTAATTGCGAACACAGCTGGGAGGCTAGATCAAGGAATCTGGGCCTTGAAACAAGGACATATCAGGGACTGAGACTAGATCTGGCTCAGTGAACTATTGTGGGCCTGGAAGCCTGACTCTCTGCTCTTCCTTGGCCAACATCGGAGTTTCTTCGTGCCTGCTGCGTGCCACGATCCAGCTCATGCCACTGGACTTTGAAGTCCTAAACTAAAAGCTGCATGCCCCCCGCTGTCTCAGTAGTTCCAACCATGACCCTACATACCACAAGAAGGACTGGGGTGATGGGGATGCAAGCCCCAGCTCTGTACCACACACACTCCACGACTGTCTATTCTAATTGGCAGCAGCCCTCCAGAGGTCTGGTGTGTTCTGCTGAAGATGCTAGGGAATGAATTTGGGGCCTTTGGCATAGAAAGCAGGTCCTCTGTCACCAAGCTAGGTGCCATCCAAGACCCAGTTAAGCCAGTATGCCAAGAGACTGGGCGCACTGGCCCAAGGGATGCAACTGCAGCTCTGCAGCATGTGACTAGGGGCTGCATTTTGTCTGGGGCAGAGGCAAGAGTGAGAAGATTGGCAGATGGCTGTAAGTAGGAGTTTTACAAACCAACACTGCACCTACACAAATCCATGGCACACCTGGGAAAGGGTCTCCCTGCATTGCTGCTTCTGGCTGACATTTTGACAGCTTTAAAATACACAAGCCTGAAACACGAAAGTGCCTGGGTTTATTGGTTCTTGAGCTGGGAGCAGCTTCATCGATGACGGCCGTTTGCCTGAGAGCATGATTAAGTTATTTCGAAAACGGGCCCTCGCTGTGCCTCTGGAGAGATTCCAAACTTTCTGCACTTGTTTTGAAATTTTGAGTTGCTGCTGGAAGGTTCATGTGACTTGGCACGGCTGGGCACTTCTCCTGCTTTGATGCCTCCCAGCTCAACTTGGGGGGCATCCTGGGCTGCAACGCTGCTGCAGAGCAGCAGGCAGTGGAGAATGCTGATCCAAGAACCGTGAGGTTTCACTCAAAAGCTCTCAATGCACGTGCATCATTCTGTCCTCCACCCTTAATGCCCAACCATTCCTGCCTATGGCCTCTATGCTTCCAGCTCTGCCCCTCTTCATACAGTTCTGGCTCCTACACCTGGAACTCCACCCCTCAACACCTAACTGCATGGTGTGATTCCCATCTCACAGTTTCAAAACCTACATTGTCTGTAACTTAACCTTTTTTCTTTTGGCCTAACTGCTTCATCCTTATCCCCAACCAAAAATGCATTGGCTTACTCACATTTTAACCTTGGTGCGCCCAACCCTCCCTTCTGTTGTTTTCCTTTGCTTCTGGACACTTACTAGAGAGCAGGCATGTGGTGCTACTTGGGGAGGAATATGAAGACCACGTTGCAGAGTCAGGAGGCAGCATTCACATCATGATGGTTGAGCTTCTCCAGGACCAAGTGTGTGCCCTTCTGGAAGCCTCATCTCACCTTTCATGCATTTCTCCATTAAGGAAGTACAATAACTATGACCACAACATCAACCTAGACACACACATGCAAGCTCCCAGCACTTGCTATCTCAGGAACACTTCCTCCAGGCCAAGAGCGCACTCTAGCCTTTACCTTGGGGTTAGTCCGCTGCTGAAGCCTCCTCTCTTCCCTCTCTCTCTGCAAACGCTCAAATTCCTCCCTGATCTCAGCAGGCGTCCTCCTCCTTTCCACCACCTGCGGGAGAAGGAATCAAGCATTTAGAGGTTATTTGGCAGCAGGACAGCCAGCAAACAAACAAACAACTGTGGGGCGTTTAATAAGAGATGCAACTGGAAACGCTCGAGGGCTTTTAATTCTCTATAGACAGGCAGGCTCGGAAGGGCTTTCTGTTTCCTTTCTTCACGCTGCAACATTCTCTCTCTTTCTGTGTCGTTCCCTCCTAGACAAAGGCACAGAGCTTTTATTGTTTTATTTAGAGTTACCAGTTACACTCCTGGCGCCCGGCTTCGTAAAAACAAATGCACGCAATATGAGACCCTGGCAACCCTAGTAGGGAGCCCACACAAAACATGACGTCCATTGAACTGACAGTGTGCGAGGATAATATAACAAAACAAGGAGCGCCATTCCAAAGAGAGGCAACTGCTCAGTGCAGGATATGCCGGCACCCAGATAAATGAATTGCAAGCAGTAAGTTGAGGTTCTTTAGTTTCCTGAGAATCCATCTTACACCAGCAACTTTTTTTTTTGACTTTCAGGCCATAAATGGCAAAGCAGGCACAAATTACAATAATGGGAGCACACAAGTGCATTCAAACATGAGGTTGCTTTGCTGAAGCTCAACAGGTCTGGATCCAGTCAGTTCCTGTATGGGAAACCACCACATGTCCCCAAATGCACCTCCCTATGTTCTAGCATGGAAGGAAGGTAGGGTATAAATATAAGTGAATCTAAGGCCAGCAGCACAAGGCCAATTTCACAGGCACTGGGGGTTTTGCACTTGTGATAACAATCCTCACTTTTTAGAGTATTTTAAAGAGGAAAGTATCATAACTCAGTGGCAGAGCATCTGCTTTGCATGCAGAATGTCCCAGGTTTAACCCCTGGCATCTCCAGGTAGGGCTGGGGGGGAAACCCTGCCTGAAACTCTGGAGAGCTGCTGCCAGTTGATGTAGACAATACTGAGCTACATATACATACTGTCTAAGGCAGTTTCCAATGTTCAAAGTGCTTCATCTACATTTTCTCAGGAATCTGTACAACCCCACAAGTGACATCAATACTATCTTCCCCCATATTGCAGATGTGGCATGCCTGTGGCTGGTGGGGCTTGTCTAAAGGGACCAAGTGAGTTCATTGGAAAAGGTTAAATTTGAAGCCGTGACTTCTGGGCTTAGTCTTTGGGTTGTATCCAAGGCTAGCCCTACACAGAGGAGGCCCATTGCATACAACTAAGCTTAGGTCCATTAATTTCAATGCCCTTCTCTGAGTAGAATATGGTTGGATACAACCCTTAGTCACTACACAAGAGTAACTCTCCAAACATGTACCTATAAGACTGCCTAAGCTAGCCGTTTCTTAAGACAGCAACCAAGGCCACAACAACTTTATCTGACAGGTGGAGATTTGCCTTTCCTAAGGAAGGAGCTGCATTCTGAGTGCCATGGAAATGTAATTTCCCCCGGAACAGAAACATTTCCTTGGCTGCAGAGGCCACCAACTCTGAACACAGGTTGTAGCAGAAACTTTAAGAGGCCTGAGTTTGGGGATGAAATCACATCCATTCTCCCTACCCCCCCCCCAATACCAGGTTCTAAAACTATTTGATGGAAACGAGGGGATTAAATCAGCTGAGTCTGGCAAGGCCAGAAGGGGTGAGATTTGTTGTGGAGAATCCGAACCGCTTAACCTCTGCAAACCTGAATTAATGACTTTAAATTACTTTATCTCTGACATTCCTTGTGGCAGGAGGAAGCAAAAAAATGGCTCCAAGGGTCTCCATTCACTCAATTTCTAGGCATCAGATTATAGAGCAAGTTGCGCATTCCAAACACATCTGACAGGGCTAACTGCAAGGTCAAGAACACCTGCCCCTTGGCATCCCAATGAGGCCAGCAAGAGCTTGATCCGTCTTCCGTGTTCAATGCAGTGGTTTTACTGGATACTTTTTACAAACAGGCTTTCGATTTGTTCTTATTTGTTACATGTTGTATCTGGGTCCGTTCTCCAAAAATGGCTTTTTCACCTCTCAGGCACCATGTGAGCTAAGCAAGCCTGGGAGGGAGGTTTGCTGTAAGCCGAACAGACACAACCTGGGTTATCTGTACACAAACCGGGGGCCACATCCTTTGTCTTTCATCACTATTGTTTACTGCCTCAACAGCTAGGCATAGATTCAAGTCTGTCCACTAGCTTACAATCTAAACGGCAGCAGACTGGGAGCGGGGGCTGTTAGTATGCTACTGAAAACTAGCGAGGGAAAAATGCCAGATTATAATTGCAAGTTTTTAAAGGGTGAGGAAATGTAAAGACAACTTAACAAAGCTTTGAAACTGTTACACGCAATATTTAAGAAACACTTCCAGTATTCTGAGTGTGACTATTTTTGCTGCTGCTACTGTTCTGTCATTTTATGATAAATCATACTATCAGTGTAGCATTCTTTCTGGTGTGTTATTGTTGCAATTTCCCCCCATACATACGTATTCTCTATTCTGGAACTTGAGGTGAAGGGTAGATCGCAAATGCTTCAAATAAAATGGGAGGATAAATAGAATTCTATGGAAATAATAAGATCCAGAATTTGCTCCCACAAGATGCAGTGCTAGCCACAAACATGGATGATCTTAAGAGGGGGTTAGACAAATCTGTGGAGGATAAGGACTAGATGGGCCCTTGGCCTTATTCAGCAGCAAGGCTCTTCTTAGGTTCTCATGACATTTCCTGCTCATTGTTTAGATGGTATTGCCACCCAAGTTTTGTTCCAGCAACTACATTCCTCTCTCTTCACGCCTCTACTTTAAGCTCCTTGTACTGTATGTACTTTCCAGTGTCTCCACATCCAATGCTCATCTAGAGCAACCTTCTCTCTCTGTTGGTTCCTCTCTGGGGCCTTTGCTATACAGGGCCCAAACTTCTTGTCCAGACTAAAACAGCACTCTCAACCCCCCCCCGTGCCCTTTTCTCTCTCCCTGATTGATGCTCCCCCCCTTTCCTCCCCCAAAGCTGCTAATTTTAGTTAGTTAACTTTCAAATTCTGTACGACACTTAGCAATTTCGGGAACTTAGCCCATAATAACCAGCCCAAATGCTCCTGAAGGTACCAGCCCAAATGCTCTTGAAGGCAGGGGGATCAAGAGTGAGTGGCTAAGAATTTGCACTGCATAACAAATAAGCCATAATAGAGAAGATTACCACCCCAGGCCCCTCACACACAGCCCTGGTGCTGCTCCACGCAGACCCCTTCCTCACCACTTCCCTTTCACCAGCAACTATACCAACATTGACAGGAAAGAAGCAAAAGGCAAGAAAGCTTGAGGGCTCTGAGCACAGGAGTACAGGAAGCTGCCTTATACTGAATCAGATCACTGGTCCACCTAGCTCAGTATTGTCTACACCAATTGGCAGCGGTTCTCCAAAGTTTCAGGCAGCAGTCTCTCCCAACCCTATCTGGAGATGCCAGGGATTGAACCTGGGCTCTTCTGCATGCAAGGCAGATTCTCTACCCCTGAGCTCTGTCCCTTCCCCATGGAGAATATTGGTAGATGTTTTAAAAAGTAACACCAACTGACTCCCCAGAGTGAAAGCTATTACTGAAGTAGGGCAGGATCTATATTAAACAATTCATCCTGCAGCTGCAGGAACACAGAACCAGCCTTGATGGTGGCTCCATAAAACAAGCTCTGCTGGTTAGGTTTGGCATCAGAGTATGAGTCGTGCGATGAAGCTTGTTTTTATCTATGGGGCACTATTCCTGTACAGTATAGCATCTCTGAGTGAATATGGAGAGGGGGTGCACTTTGTGTACCTAACAATGAAGATAGTGAAGTCAACAGATGTTCTTATCACCATTAGATCTTAGGCTACGACCCTGATGAATGAGAACCCAAGTAGCCAACTCAGCCTCGAACCACGCTTCCAGTTTCTTAAAATGCTTGGTTTTGTATCCATTTTCCATCACACAGCTGAGGGAATATAGGCTGTTTAGGATGCGTTTGCACATAGGTGTGTAAAGTTGCCTCTTTGCACTCCTAACCAATGGCCAACTTCCTAGGATAAATGAGGGTGGGGTAGGATTGATGCACTCTCTGTGGCCAAGCTCCTCTTCAGGGAGTTGGGAGCCTCTCTATCGACAGCACCGCATTTCCAGGCTCAGAGTGACTGTACCCCCAAACCAAGGGTAAAACAAGCATTGCTTCAACACACACAATGGGGCAGAGGGAAAGAATGACCAATTAAGCAGTGGCGGGTTTTGATTTCTTCTGTTGTTTAAACACCACAGCACTGCCACACTGAAGAAACTCAAAAGTCACTTCTCAGTTAATGTTGGATCAGCTTGATGTCCAAGCTGGAGAACAGGAAAGGATTTTCCACTGGATAGAGAAGGTCATCAACTGTCAGAGGTGAAACCTGAGCTTGTCCTGAGTAACATGGGCACAGGAGTCTTTGCATGCACTTGCGGTTTCTCACGTATAGCCCAGACAACACCAATGAAAGTGGCTGAGAGGATTCCGAGACTGAACAACTTGCAGGTCCTATCTGGCTGCAATGGTCTTACCTCCCATCCTTCCATTTCAAGGCCTCTCTTTCCATATATGTCATAGATGGCTCTCGTCTGTGGGTCACTGAGCACTGAAAATCAAAACCAAAACATGTTCAGAGCATGCAGCAGTCAAAGCAGAGTTCAGACAGAAGTACACACACACACACACACACACACACACACACATACATACTCTCCAGCACCTTCCAAATACATTTTCAGGAAACCTAAAACCAAGTCACCAAACACACATTCCACAAAGACAACGTGGCCACCTCAAGCTCACTGCCAAATATGCCTATGTGACACACCTCTTTGCAAACCTAGATTTACATTTTTAAATGCATGCACCTAGAAAACAGGACCTCTTCGCAGGAGAATGCCAAGCGCGTTTCTAGAACAGATTATTCACAGCACAACTCTTGGAATGCAAAGGGTTGAGGATTTCCCCCTACACAGACATCACCCATTTCAAGGTCTCTGCTGGATTTCCCTCCCGCTCTTCAAGCGTGTTCCCATGCATCACAAGGCCTAATTAAGAACGCTGTAAACGATTCCGCCCACGTCCAAGCCTAATGGGAGGAAAGGAATGCTGACCATTCAGAAAACACCAGAACCAAATTTCTTTAGCTAATCTCTGGGATTTAATAAGAAATCATTTATTCACCATTTCACTTTAGCTTCCCTTTGGGCCAAACCGCTGGGCGATGAGGACTGCTGGTGCTGCAGTTTTTCTACTGGGGTGGGGGTAGAATCCTGCAAGCTCCTAATTCACTTAAGTTTCAGTTACTTCTCCCCAAATTTCAAAAAATGCTGCAAACAAACTATCAATAATTCAGACGCATGCAAGATTCATTCAACCAAACCCAGATAACAGAATATAATCAAAAGGGCAACAGTTTCGATGAAAGACGGAGCGGAAACACACACAGCCCATCTGCCTGTGACTGCAGAGCTGAGAATCTGGAGAGATTGCATTATCTTGACTATGCAGATTTATCACCCAACACACTCCAGAGTTTCCTGATGGCTATTAACATCTAATTTTTTTGGCAACAACCCCCACCCCCGGCAAACTGAGATAAGAGATAAGCTTTTACAGCAGATTGGGGAAAGTCTTTATTTCGGAGAGGAACATCTTCTTCTATACTTAGTTAAGTCTAATTATAGGAGAATTGCATGCCAAGCATAGCAAACAGCATCTCGAGTGAATTATAGCCCATACTTTCGCTGGTGGAAGAAATTCTCATCTCCCCTGTAATCCTTCATGGGAAGCAAAACCAGCCTGATGAGAAGCACTTACAGTTACGACTGCTTCAGATGACTATTTCAGTGCTGACACAGTTGGATTTTTTTTACATTTCCTTTCCACATCATGAACTTCTGTCTATTTTTTGTGCCGAGCAAAATAAGAAACAAAAACTAAAGAAAAAACCCCCAATGCCCCTATTCTGCAATTACACATCATCCCTGCATCTGCCACCAAAAAAGCTCACCAAGGAATCTGGTACTCACAAGGCAGCTCTAGATAAGGAAAGAAGGATGCGGCTGCAGTTGCACATAACAGGGAGTCAGTGGGGTGGGCAGACTATGTTCTAACACTAAGTGGAAATCTGGGTAACCTTGGAGGCCTCCCCCAACCTCAGTTCTGCTGCCTGTCTAACAGAAAGATCTCACCTTGCAAAGGTGACTGCTTACAACAGGGGTGTGGAATTGGATCTGAACAGGGGACCAGAGCATTATCTCCCCTATCCCCTTGCAGACCACACTTCAGCAGGAGGGTGTGGTCACCCAGTTGGCACCACTGGCATGACATCAGGTGGCCCATTTTAGCTCATGTGGTTTGAAATCAAACCACTGCACTCTGCAAGACCTGACCATGAGCAGATCGCCAGAGCCTGCAAAGCACTGTGTGTGATAGTGGGTGCTGCTAACAGGAAGTGCCTGCAATCCCCTTTCTGGTCCACCTGTCAGAAATCACACAGGTTGGCAAGTTTAGGGCAGGTGGCGGTCATTCAGCCAGAACAACCTCATGGACCATGTTCGATTTACGGACCAGAGCCTCCCTGCCCGTGGCTTGCAGGAAATCCCAGAAGAGCAGATGAGCTAGTCATGTTACAGTTAACACAAACATGAATTCTGCAGCACCTTAAAGACTTAAAGAGATCCACTGAGGCACCAGCTTTTGTAGACTAGAGTCTGCTTGCCCACGCAAGGCTGCCATCAGCACCTATTGCACTGATCTCCAATTGGTGCCAAGACATGTAAGGGTGTAACAAGAAAACCAGTGTGGTGCAGCTGACGAAAGCACTGGACTTTAACCTTGCAATAGCTCTATAGTATGACGTTTATGTTCTCTGCACCAAGCTGCTGAAAGGAAGGTGGGGTGCCGAAGAATACATAAATATACAGTGGTACCTTGGGTTACATACGCTTCAGGTTACATATGCTTCAGGTTACAGACTCCGCTAACCCAGAAATAGTACCTCAGGTTAAGAACTTTACTTCTGGATGAGAACAGAAATCATGCTCCGGCGGCATGGCAGTAGCAGGAGGCCCCATTAGCTAAAGTGGTGCTTCCGGTTAAGAACAGTTTCAGGTTAAGAACAGACCTCCGGAATGAATTAAGTACTTAACCCGAGGTACCACTGTAACTGTCTTTAGACTATACTTGTCCAGGGTTATAATCTTTAAACAGTGCTTTTGGCTTTATAAAAACTATCCCAGGACCTCAGAAGGGGGCTTGGGACATGAAGCCTCCCTTGGACCAGGGAGATATACTTTTGGTGCATAAACACACAGTTCTGGGGTGGTCAAGAGAAAACCACATGATTTGAAGGGTGGTGTCCCTAGGAATCTGTCAAGCAACAGAGGGATTAGTACAGGCAGCAACCATTTTGTGTGTGTTCGACTGGCACGTGACAACCAATGTACATGCTTTTTCTGGCCCTTGAAGGGGGAGGGCTTATGCACGCTCCACCAACATGCGCAAAGACCCGGAATAAAACCCCTGTGCAAATGGGGAGTTGCCCATATAGCAAGGGAACAAGGATGAAAGACCTGTGGGAAAAGTTGGTGTTTCCTCACCCTGCTTACACCACGCTCTTGATATTCAGCTGAATATCTCCTGGGAAATGCTGCTCCTTGGCCCACAGAGCAAAAAGTCCTCCACCAACTTGATGCAGGCATTCTGACACAGCCTACCTCCTACCAACCATGTGTGTTGAGATTCTGTCCCATAATGACCAAATGCTGGGTCATGTGCTGCAGAGGATCGCTGATCCTACATATGGAAGCCTCAGAGCTGCTGAATTGGTGAGTGGTATGAGGAAGGCAACTGACTGTGGAAGTTAGCAGCATCTCTGTTCAAGCACTGCATGGCCCTACCAAGCTGAAAGCGAAAATCTGGTGTCAGCTGCTGCACAGAGAGGTTAGACTGGAAGTTGCCTAGAGAAGCATGCTTCTTCAGTCTTACTCCTGGCTTTCTAGTCTAGTTTGCTACTAGAAAAGAGGACTGGCTTGCTGGCATTAAGAGGTGGTCACTTCAAAACCCTTCCATGTCATACTCATAGAATCAGACTCCGTGGTCAGAATCTTTATTGGCTTGTTAGTGTATATCCTTGGGACCCCCAAAACCACATATATGTTCACTCATAAAGGTAAAGGTAAAGGGACCCCTGACCATTAGGTCCAGTTGTGGCCGACTCTGGGGTTGCGGCACTCACCTCGCTTTATTGGCCGAGGGAGCCGGCGTACAGCTTCCGGGTCATGTGGTCAGCATGACTAAGCCGCTTCTGGCGAACCAGAGCAGCGCACGGAAACACCGTTTACCTTCCCGCTGGAGCGGTACCTATTTATCTACTTGCACTTTGACGTGCTTTTGAACTGCTAGGTTGGCAGGAGCAGGGACCGAGCAACGGGAGCTCACCCCGTCGCGGGGATTCGAACCGCCGACCTTCTGATCGGCAAGTCCTAGGCTCTGTGGTTTAACCCACAGCGCCACCTGCGCCCCATGTTCACTCATAGGAACATACTGAATGGGGCCAATGCTTCATCTAGCTCAGTACTGGCTACACTGACTGGCAGCAGCTCTCTGGGGTTTCATGCAGATTTCTCTCCCAGCCCGACCTGGAGATGCCAGGAACCGAACCTAAGACCCACCACATGTTGTAGATGCTCTACCACTGAGCTACAGCCCTTCCAATGACTCATTTGTCAAAAACTGATAGTCCAGGTATTGATTCTCTCATATGAAAACGGCAAAAACCAGCTACTGCCTTTAACAGCAAAAAGACTCGCTGTCTGGATTCCAAGCTAGAAAATCCATTGGCAGCTGCTGAGCCGAGGATGGCTGTGAATCTCTGGCATCCACTGACCTTCATAAGCCTGATGGAGAAGGTTGAAGAGCTGCTCGGCCTGCCTCTTGAGCTCTGGGTCCCTGTGCTTGTCAGGATGGTACAGCATACACAGCCTACGGTAGGCGGCTTTCAGCTCTTCCTGAGAGGCCTGTGAGAAGAAAAGAAATCCAATTATAGCACAATCAATGCAGTTAAGCCGCTATCATCTCAAAAATCTGCCCAGAAACGGGAACCCATCAGACGCACTCCGGCGCGTTCTGTTCTGCAGATCGGGAAGCATAATGAAGCTGTGATTTGCTAGGACCGCTTCTCTTGGCATGGTGCAAGAAACCACCAGTCTGGGGCATTAATAATCATAATTTATGTAGCACAGTTCGAGCATTCAAAGCACTCACAATTATCTCAGTATTCCTTACAACAGCCTCCTGGAAGCTCAGCCAGCCAGTACTCTGGATAAAAGTGCCATCAGCATGTACGGGGCTTTACAAAGCACAAGACAACAGGGCTCTGCCCCAGGAAACATAAAACCTAAAATAATTGTGCTACTATAATGCTGTTCTTTTGTTTTATTCTAGTTTATAATTTAAAACTGGTTTTATATCGTTGCAAGCCATTTTGCATGCACCTTGTTCTAAAAAAGCAGGCTATAATTAACAAAGATTTTGTTCCAAGTGGCAATGAAGATTCAGAAGTTGTGCTGGTTCAGGGGCCTCATAACCTTTATGGCCCTTGTGCCACAGAAGGGGACACTGGAGGGGTAAGGGCCTTGCTTGAGACATGCTTGTGAACAGTCTTTTGCCTGTGGCAACTAAGAGTCAGCTCCAAAACTCCCAATGGCTGCACCCAAGAGGCTTCATATAAATGTAAAACAGCATTGGGGACACGGGGACAAGATTGTGCCTTGTAGTGCATCACAGCATGAAGACTGTGGAGCTGAAACACGGTCTCTCAGTGCTACTCTCTGGAAAAGACCCTCTAGGTAGGAGTGGAACCAGTGTAAAACAGTGTCCCCTGATACTCATCCCACAGAGCCAGTCCAGCAGGATGCCTTGGTCTAGTATCAAAACCCATGGAGAGAGACAAAGAAGCAGAAGCAAAAATGCATTCCCCCTGTCCCACTCTCTATACAGGTTATCCATCCAGGTGACCAAGGCTGATTCAATTCCAAAACAGCACCTGAATGCAGAATGAAGTGGATTCAGGTACCAATAAATTAGACAAAAATTGGGTGTCGTCTTATACACGGATAGTGAATGCAGAGAGAGGATGTGCAATTAATGGCAGCAGCAAGCAGGAGATTGGCAGCGGCAATTGGGCGGCTAACTGGTGACTGCGGCAAGGTGATCGGCTGTGGCAACTGGGCAGGCGATTGGAGGCTGTGGCGAGGTGGGCAGGTGATTGGCAGCTGCGGCAAGTGGGCTGTTGGTGGCAGCAAGTGGGCAATTGGCAGCTGTGGTGAGGTGTGTGATCAGCAGTGTGGCTGTGGCAAGCGATCAGCAGTGGCAGGCAGGCGGGTGAGTGATTGGAGGAAGTGACCTCCCCCACACCCCAAAAGAGCTAAACAACTTAATTTCTTAATTTTGAGTTTTAAAAAATAGGGGTCGTCTTATACATGGGGGCGTCTTATACATGGAAAAATATGGTAATTCCTGCAGGAACTCACTGCTTGGCCAGCACCTTACCCAAGAAAGGGGTATTTTTTATGGGTAGTAATTGTTATAAACCACTGGATCCAGGGTGGGTTTCTTCAGAAGCGGGCGCACCACCCACCGCCTGCTTAAGGGGAGTGGCACTACACCCTCATGTCAATAAGCCTTCACCATACCCTGGGCCCATCTGGTCAACCCTTCCTGACAGGCTTTTACTAGCCAGGATGGGCAGGGAACAAGAGAGCAGGAAGCCAGTCATTGCAAGAATGCTGCATACATTATCAGGCCAAGTAAAGTGACACTGATTCCTTGGTGAAGGCACTGCATTGGACACTTCAACTGGAGTTGCAACAACAGTAACATCTAAGGCGCTATGGGAATGGGAGAAACTCAGCAGAAGCACATTTGCTAGCCTTCAAGGTGAAGGCAAGGGTGCAAACTCTAGAACTAAAAAGAATGCCTATTTGTTACAAACAAACAAGCCAAATTCCTTGAAATTCACCATGATTACCCACATGAAGGTACAGGAGCAAAAGAGAGGCTTACGAGGTTGAATGATTAACTTGCAAAGATGGGGGCAAATCTTTTTTCAACACACAAATGCATTTTAACGATATACTTCCAAAGGCCTTCTGCCTGCTCCTTTTGATCAATGCAGAGCTGTTTAGCTCGGAAACAGAAGGTCAGGGTGCTTCACATATAAGGCTAATCCTCTCGCTCATGAACAAACACAGCGTATCAGCAAAAAACTGCAGTTTTTAATACATAAAGTGGGATTTGAGCCATTTCTGGTGACAAACAGGAATTGAGAGATTTCTTCTGTTTCTTATTCATACGTCTTGGTTCAATGACAAAGGAATTGGACAGACCTGCCTGGCTCCTGAGAACACATTGCCCGGTGAAGGAGTCATCCTTCCTGAGCAACTGCTGTCTCTTTCCACTCTCTTGGTTATTAGAATTAAAGTAGATGAGAAGGGAGTGGAATTTCGAGCTCGGCAATGACCTTCTTTAATCAAATTAGTGATAAATGGCTTAATGTGCTATTGATTAAGTAATAGAAATGAGCAGTTCCATTTTTCACAAATATCATGTTCAATAAAATGTTAGATTGGGCCTTTCATCATAAGTGAATCACTAAGGTCATTGGTTCAATATTTCAAGAGTGATAACCTCTCTCCAGCCACTGCAGAAAATACTGACAACATTTCAAATTCTAATGAGATACATAAGTCACTAATAATGATATTTTAAGTTACATTCTTATTACTTAAACTTGGGGCAAAATTAAGAGGCACGCCATCATGCTATTCGGGGGATTAAACTCATTCATTTCACATCTCAATCATCCAGTTACATCTTCGCAGCATGTAAATCTATTACAGATTAAATGGCCATATACTAGCAAATTGCCAGAGACAGGTTTTAGACGTCCTTCTCTTCCTCTTCCCCAGGCCCATAAAGTTTAGTGACCTATTATTCTCAGATTAACCAGTGCTCTGAAGAGCTGAATTTGCCCTATAAGAAGCTGGGTACAAAATATGGAAACAAAGGCCTACAAAGGCAATGGAGTATTTCTCAATTTCAGCCCCAAAGTAAATTTAGTTATCTAGCAGAACTGGCTTTTGAAAGCCTCCAGAGAGCTCTGCTGAGAGTCCCTCAAGCCCTTAAGGGGGCAGGAAAAGGACACCTGGGCACGGCTTGCTGCAACTACAATAACCCTGCAACTTACATGAATTTAACTTGTGCACATTCAGCTTTACAGACTTGGCAAAAGAATAGTAAAAGAGGTGGAAAAGAGGCAGGGAAAAAGACTTTGGCAATCCCACCCGCCACTGAACCTAATATGTTTTGACTATATGTGATTTTTGCTTCAGCCGTGATCCTGGGAATGTAACCTCTGTGTAAGTTGTAGACTTACTGCAAGATAGCTGAAAATTCATCTCAAAACCAGCCTTCCCAACCTGACACCTTTTGGAAAACAACTCCAATCAGCATGGCCTTGCTACCTAGGGCTGATGGGAGTAGTAGTCCAAAGCATCTGTTGGCTTCAGGTTGAGGACGACTTTTTAGAAGTATATGTATCAGCCAGTTTTTCAGTTCCACTAGGGCAAGATTTGAGGGAGGAAGAAGCAGGGCTATGCTGAGTCTGGGTCACCTAAGTGGCTCCCACTGGGATCTATGGAGAAAATGGTTGCATTCTGAGACATAGTCAAAACAGAGCGCTGGAACAAACACAGCTTCAACGACAATGGCATTTCAAGCACATTCACATCATGCAATAATAAGAGGGGAAATAAAGTGCTATACTACTTAGAGACACTGTTACAGGACAGAAGGGGAATCAAATCACAAGTACTCCATTGTAGAGGGAGTCATACATCACAAGCACCTCTGAAGGTCATTTGGCTAGCATATGTTCTGCTCAATTCTGGAGGGGAACAAAAAAACTCCCCTTTAACTCTACTTCAGTGAGCAATAGAGAATTACCCCCAAAACTCATATATAGCTGGTACCTAACCTCTAGGAAGCTGGCAATAATCCATCTTGGTTCCTCACCACATTGCTGGAGGGGCTGTCCTACACCCGGTACTCCTCTGCTCTCAGCATTTCTCCTGTAGAATCAAGTTGACTCAACCCCTGAGATCTAAAGCCACATTGTGACTCAAGACAGACCTTGTCAGCAAGTGACTGTAATCTGTTGAGTACTACATGGTACTGCTGAGTACTGTGAAGAAGGCTGTCTTCACAGTACTCAGCAGGGAGATTCCACAGTAGTTGTTGCAGTCATGGTAGTCACCTTTGTTCCTGTAGAAGGTCACAATGCTGGAGTTGTGCATGTTTTGTGGCACAGATCCTAATTCCTAACATAGCAAGAGAAGGCCGTAGAGGTGTATCATGAGGAAAGATGGCTTTCAGCAGTTCTGTTGGGATTCCATCCTGTCCTGGGACTTTCCCACATGCCAGAAAGTTGATGGCATTCTTCAGCTCATTGAAGGAGGGGCACCCAGCTCTTCCAAGACAGACAGAGATTGGATACTGTCTATTACGATGTCAGAGACCATGTTTTCCCAGCTCTTGGTAGTGCTCTGCCCATCACTTCATCTGCTTGCTGCGGTCTGTGATGATCTCTCCCAACAAGGTTTTCAATGGTACAGGTTTTTTCTGATTGTTGGTCCAAAGGCTTTCTTCATACCTTTGTACATTTTGTGAGTATTGCCGCTGTCAGCAGCAAGTTGAATGCTCTGACACAGCTTTAGCCAACAGTCACTGGCAAACTATCTGGCAAATCACTGGGCATTGCTCCTTGCCTTTCTCAGTGCAGCAAGCATCTTCTTGCAGGGCGCATGCTTGTAGCTCACAAGAGCCTCGTGCTTTGCAGCAATAACAGGCTCCATGTCCTTAATGCCAGCCTCAAACCAGTCAGGGATCTGCTGCTCTCTTTTGCCAAGAGGACACAGCTGTGCTGTAGGTTGCCTCTTTGATGTGGTTCCACCTTACA